GGGTGTTCGAATTAGATCGGCGGACTTCCGCGGATGCCTCTGGCACAACAAATCTTTCGGGTGGCGCCCCGCCGATCTTTGATGTGGCGCAGCAGCGCCGGTTTGCGCGATTGCGCTGGGCCCCCACGGGCGCCCGTGAAACCGCGCACCAAAGGTCACTCTAGCCCAGGGTCGCTCCTACGCGTAGTCGAACACGCGCGCGCCGTCGCGCGCGCATGCCGAAATCGTTCAAAAAATTCGGGTTTCGGAAGGATTTCAAAATCGAATGTGCAAGACACATACAAAACACAAGGTTTCGCAACACAGGTTTTCAACGAAAGCGTGCGCGCGCGCTCTTGCGTCGTCGTCATCGTCGTCGTCGTCGCCGTCCTCGATCCCTCGTCGTCGTCGTCGCCGTCGTCGTCCTCTGTCTTTCCTCGTCGTCGTCGTCGTCGTCATGGCGTCGTCGTCGTTTCCGTCGTCGTTGTCGCCGTGGTCGTCCTTCCTCCCTCGTTTTTGTTCGGCGTTTCGTCGTTGTCCCTCCTATTTCGTCGCCGTCGTCGTCGCCGTCGTCGTCGTCGTCGTCTTCCTCCCTTGTCGTTATCGTCGTCGCCGTCGTCGTCCTCCCTCATCCCTCGTCGTCGTCGTCGTCTTCGTTGGCGACGTCGTCGTCGTCGTCGCCGTCTTCGTCGTCGCCGTCGTCGTCGTCGCCGTCGTTGTCGTCGTCGGCGTCGTTGTCGTCGTCGTCGGCGGCGGCGTCGTCGTCGTCGGCGTTGTCATCGTCGTCGTCGTCGTCGTCAGTGTCGGCGTCGTCGCCGTCGTCGTCGGTGTTGTCGTCGTCGTCGTTGTCGTCGTTGTCGAAGTCGTTGGAGATTCGCCCGCAACGTGTACCGATGTCGACGATGCCATGATACCGCGCCCGCCCAAATCGCCGACTCGCAATGAAGTGCCCGCTGGTATGTGCCCAACGATCAGCGCTACCACGGCTGCGTCGGTCGCGCCAAACCAGCTGGCCGCTGCGCGCGTGTTTGGGTGGCGCGGCAGCGGAGATGCACCAGCCCACGCCGAGCATGCATCGCAATCGCCACCTTATGGGTTTTGCAAACCAGGTTGCGGGAGGGTGGGTGGGATGCTTCCAAGAGCGCGGGATGTGTTAACACGTTTGTTAAAAGCACGAACAGAAGAATTGATTCTACCCCCCCCCCCAGAGTTAACGGGTCACCACTCCGTATTGCAATTCACATACGATTACCCCCCCCGCTACCCTCTGCAAAAAAATACCATGCGCGCGCACTCGTTTATCAACAATCATAAGTTCCCAAGAATCCCCCGCAACAGATGTGACGAAGTGCGCACGCCATCGGTCTTGGAAGGATGCCACAATCGAGCTTCCAACAAGCATACAAAAACACAGGGTTTCGCAACACTGGCGCGCAAAGAAAGCCTACGCGCGCGCTCTTGCGAAATCTTAAGAAACCCGTGTTTGATTTTTGTTGCAAAAAAGTGAACATACTTCCAAACGGACTTCGCGCACGCGCATGTCGAAATCTTTCGAACGCCCTTGCGCGCGTGCCGTCGCGAGAATCCGTTGCAAAGAATTGGGACGAAGTGCAGATGCGCGCGTCGTCGCGAGCGCATGCCGAGTTCCTTCAAAAACCGTCGGTTCTGGAAGGATGTCAGAATCGTGTGCCCAAAAAACAAAAACACACAAGGTTTCGCAGCACGGATTTTCAACGAAAGCGTGCGCGCGCGCTCTTGCGTCGTCGTCGTCGTCGTCGCCGTCCTCGATCCTCCCTCGTCGTCGTCGTCGTCGTCGTCGTCGTCGCCGTCGTCGTCCTCTGTCTTTTTTACCGTGTTCTTCGTCGTCGTCCTCTTTGGCGTCGTGGTCGTCATCTTTGTCGTTGTCGCCTTGGTCGTTCTTCCTCCTCCTCCCTCGTCGTCGTCGTCGTCCGTCGTCGGCGTCTCGTCGTCGTCCCTCCCATTTCGTCGCCGTCGTCGTCATCGTCGTCGTCGTCGTCTTCCCTCCTCCCTCGTCGTTGTCGTCGTCGGCGTCGCCGTCCTCCCTCCTTCTTCGTCGTTCGTGTCGTCGCCGTCCTCCCTCTACCCTCGTTGTTGTCGTCGTTGTCGCCGTCGTCGTCCTCCCTTCTCCCTCGTCGTCGTCGTCGTCTTCGTTGGCGACGTCGTCGTCGGCGTCGGCGTGGTCGTCATCTTCGTCGGCGTCAGCGTCGTCGTCGTCGCCGCCGTCGTCGTCGTCGTCGTCGGCGTCGTCGACGTCGTCGTCGTCGTCGGCGTCGTCTTCGTCGGCGTCATCGTCGTCGTCGTCGGCGTCGGCGTCGGCGTTGTCGTCGTCAGTGTCGTCGTCGTCGTCGAAGTCGTCGTCGTCGAAGTCGTCGTCGAAGTCGTCGGAGACGTCGTCGGTGTCGTCGTAGTCGGTGTCGTCGGTGTCGTCGTAGTCGGTCTTAAGAGGTTTTGCAAACCAAGTTGCGGGTGGGCGGGCGGGATGTTTGCAAGAGCATGGGATGTGTCAAACCATGCTAAAAATCAATTGCACGATTTAGACTTCTGCGCAAAGCTTGCACTACATAGATCGGACCTCATATATTGCACCACGTGGACACATGTATTGCACATCGTCTATTTCACCACACACTGTTTTTCTATGCACATGTCTGAATAACTGTATGTGTATATGCTCATACACTGCACCCATCGGCCGCCCCACATCTATTGCGCCACATAGATTGCACAACACAGGTTGCGCTACTTAGATTGCACTACATCTATTGCTAGAAGCACGTTGTTTTGGGCCCGCGCTGGCTAGCATATGTATTGTAGGATTCCCAGGTTCCAATCTACGTTGGGCGTGTTCCTATGTTCACCATCGATGATGCTTTCCCTTCTCCTGCTTCTTTTGGGGGCGGCTTCGAACCCAAATTTCTTCCAACGCATGCCTACCCCATGTTGATACCCACCGCGCTGCCGACCGCAGACCCATTGGATTCGATACGCCCCTCGGCAGATCGTCGATACGATGGGTTCTCCCAGGGGTGTCAGGAGCACAGCTCCCTCAGTTGTGACTGGTCGGACCCCTCTTCGCTTCTGCCGTCCTTCCGCGCCCACCTCGCGTTTTTAGCCTCGTTCACCCTCTGCTGGGCACGTCGAGCAAGACATCAGCCTGCCAGCAGGTGCCCCGCCGAGATGTCTGAGTCCCAGAGCCCTTTCTGTGCGACCCCGATGAGAAACTGGGGCGCTCCATCCGAAGCTCGGCCCCAGCGGAAATTGTGCACCGCTTATTTCTTGTGGCGAGCTTTCGAATCGCACGCATATGATTAATGCCTCCATGTCTTCCTTGCGGTGCTCCTCCTCTGGGAGGTCAGCCTACTGTGCGAGGTGCTCCAGAAGGGGCCCCGCCTTCGAGGGATCTAAACTTGATATCTCTTTCCCACCTGGGCAGCAGGCTGGCGGAAGGCGGAAATAAATCGAGGCTTCCTTCGCCGGCGCAAGGTTGGCGGACGCAACGGTTTGTCCTCCAAGAGACGGCGTGTTTGTTGGGTTCAAGGTTTTCGGAGCTCGCCATGCAGCGCGCTCCAGAAACGGCCTCGCCCTCGGCGGAAGCCGCTGGGAGAGGGCGGAAGCCAAGCAGGGGCGGTCACCAGGGCGGGCCCGCTGGCGGAGGAGGAGGCGGGCCGCCCAAAGCTTCGGGGCCACGACAGAAGGACATCACACACACACATGAGCATGGTCCTTGGAACGTCCGCTCGGATTTCGTAGGTTGGCGCCTGAGGCGCCACCAAGGAGGTCCAGCGCCGACCGACGAAAGCCGCGCCGACCCACGAGAAGCTTCTGCTCCTGCAGCTGCTCCTTCTTCTGGTCCACAGGGGCTCCGACGTCGGCGGTGCATCCATCTCTCTGTCGGTAGCCCCACAGGCGGTGCGGTGACTACAGTCGGGGCGTTGAAGAAGGAACCTTTTGCGTTGGGGAGGGGCTCGGTGTTCCTTAATTGTTCCTCACCTTGCCTAAGGTTTTCTTATGCTTTCGATGGGAAGTCGAAGTTTAACTTATGGAACAAAGGGGCCTCGTTCCTTATTCAGGGTTCCTTAGGTCAACGCCCCGACTGTACACCGTGTGGTGAGCCAGTGGAGCTTCGGGGCCACCTACGCTTTTGAGACTCGGGTCGTTCTCGAAGGACGTGTGGGGCGACTTGGGCCTCCAGGCTCCCGAGACCGTCAGGTGACAGACCGTGCGGTGAGGCACTTCGGGATGGCGCGGTCGCCACGCGATCCGTCACCGCACCGTGTTGGGGAATTCTCTGCACGTGCCCGTCCCCATTGCCACCTTCCGTGCCGCGCGCGCGCTGGCTGGGGGGGGGCCTGCGGCCCGGCCGCTCTCTTCGGCCGCGTGCGCCGCGCGATGGCGGAGGAGGCGCGCGGGCGGGGGCCCTCCGTCGGACATCGGTCTGGGCAGCCCTCCGTCCCAGCCCTCCAACGCAAGGGAGAAACACGCACGGAGGGGTTTCACAGTTTTCGGCCGTGGACTGGACACCCTCCTGAGATCCGCGCGACATCCCTGCTCGTGGGGCTGCTGTGCGCTCGTCGCCAGTTTCCCCAATCGAGTGCATCTGATCCTCCTCCCTCCCCCTCCTACCTCACCCCGTCTTCGGATTTGCCCAGCGATTGCCGCGATTTTGGGTGTCAACAACGATGAGCGCGTGCAACCACCGTGCTGTCCAGGGTAGTGGCGCCAGGAAGCTGGGTCCACCTAGCGGTGCTGAGGCGTCCTGAAGCTGTCACTTCAAGACTCCTCCTCCTCCTCCTCCTCCTCCTCCTCCTCCTCCTCCTCCTTCCTCTCAGTACCCTCCGCCTCCCCTAGTCGTTTTCCCTGCTCGTCCTTCTTCCTCTCTTTCTCTTTCTCTTTCTCTTCATCCTCCTCCTTCTCCTCCTCCTCCTCATCCTCCTTCTCCTTCTCCTTATTCTCCTCCGTTTCCTTCTCCAACCTTCGCCTTCTCCTCTGTCGCCATTGTGGCTCAGGCCGCATGCGCCCGCGGGCGCCCCAACCCCCAGCGGAAGCCCGTGCTCGGCGCCCGCGGCCGCCGCGGAGGAGGACCCCGCGCTGGGCCCCTCTCTGGCAGACTCGGGCAACTCCGCCTCCAGCGTCGCCACGTCGCTCGCACTGGGCGGCGCGTCCTTGGGCGAGTTCGCTGCCGCGGTCGGCGCAGTGGACCGCGCCAGCGTGGTGTCGGCCGCCCTGGCTCTCGCGCAGGCGGTGGGCTGCGAGGGGTCCGGGACGTCGGCGAAGACGTACCTCTGGCGGAAGGCGGACGTGCAGGCGTAGCAGCTCCACGCGCAGTCGCAGGCCGCGCAGTTCAGAGCCTCCACGGGCCGCAAGTGGATCGTGCCAGGCTCTCAGGGGCAAGGTTAGGGGCCGAGAGGCTCCCGATAGCCCACCCCTCCCAGGACTGCGGATCTTCTTTCGGGGGCCTATCGCCGATCTATCGGCGATGTATCGTCGACTCCAGATCAGTGTCTCCCCCCCCCGAGCCAGTCCCGATCGGTCCTTTCGGGTCATAACTGGGGCCTCCGGCGGCCGTTCAGGACGATTGGGCACTCCCGGGAACGCGCTCGGCGAGGCGCACTGGAAGGCATCCCGAGGCTGGAGAGCCGACGAGAGCCAGCGAAAACCTCAACCCCGCCTGCCCCGATCGCTGCCTCAGGCTCCGCGAGGGCGGGGACGTGGACGATGTGCGCCAGCCTGGCGGCGGGTGACGAGGCCACTTCGGAGAATCCCATGGCCCCTTGCCATCGCTCGGACGTGTGCATTTTTCCTCCGGCGAGGACCATGCAGGAGCATCCGCGATCATTTGGCGAAAAAACCACGCACGAAATCGGAAAAAAACACAGGGAATGGACGTCCGAGCGATGGCCAGGGCCCTGGTCCAACTTCTGGACCGGTCCCCGATCGCGGTCCTCGCGCGGGGACTTGCCTGGGCTGGCTGGCGAGTTGCCGAGCTCACCGCCCGACTTCGAGGGCCCGCCGCCGTCGCCCTCGCCGCTGGCGGACTGGTGTCCTGCGGGCCCACCCGAGCGGCTGGGGGGGGGTCTGCCCGCCCGCGCCGGGGTGCCCGGCCTGCCCGTCGTTGGATAATTTCGTTGCAGATTTTGAGGTGGATTTCATGCGGATTTCCTTGGTCAGGAATTGAGGCTGAGAAGAATCCACGCAGCGGCACTTCGGTTCTCACTCGCCGTTTTCGGGGTTTTGTATGGACAGAATCCACGCGGAAATCCGCTGCAACACGTCTGCAAGGTCGGTGTAGTGACACGTGTGGGTCCTGGCCGAGCCTGCTCCAGTTTCGGCCAGCGGGAGCGAGGTGGACATGCGGCGGCATCATTTCGTGGCCGTGGGCTCGGAGGACAACCGCGAGGGCATGCTGTTGCGCAAGTCCGAGCTCTCGCGGGGCAGCGTCGCCGCGCTGGGCGCGGAGCTGGATGGCGAGGCATCGATGGCGCGCGTTGCGCCCGAGCGCATCTGGGCCATCCACGCCGCGCTGGGCGCGCTGCTGCGGCGCAAGCGAGTCAGCGCCTGGTCGCTGCAGGTGGTCATGGGCCACTGCGCGTTCGCTGCTCTGCGCCGCCGAGGTCTGTTCAGCGCATTCCACTCGGTCTACGCCTTCATCGAGCGCGGCCTCGCCTTGCAAGTGCCGGAGGCTATGTGGGGCGAGTGTCGGGCGGAGCTGCGTGTGTTCAGGTCCCGTATGATCTTCGCGACGAGCGACTGGCAGCGCCGTTGGAACGACCTGATGATCCAGACCAACAGCAGCCTCGAGGGGTGCGCTGTGGCCCAGGCCTCTTGGCCCATCAGACTCCGGGGGAGGTTGGCCGCACCCTCGAACGGCAGCGTTTTCGGCGCATTTGGTCGCACCGGGCCCGAGAGAGCGCCCTCGTGGCGGCAGGATTTTGCCGGCAGGCGGACGGTAGCTGGACGACCGCGGCTGGCTGGGCCGACGAGGCAGAGCCGTGACTACCGCTCACGTCTGTGATGCGAGGCAGTTGCTCGTATGTTATACTATGTTCTGCACCCTCGCCGCGTCTATATCCGCGCTTTCGTCAGGAAAAAATGTTCGTGGTATTGTTTGCTCCTCGTCCAGATCCTGCCTGCTGCCCTTCGCTTGCGGGGGCTCGCCAGGACGCCCGAAATCCTCGTCGACCCCCCGCAGGGCTACGGTTTCCCGTGCGGGGCGTCCAGTCGGATTTCTGCCAGCTCCGGGCTGCTGCCCCTCCGTTGTCACTTTGGCTCAAGACTCGCCATGTTCTATCCATAGTCGCGCTGGGCCATTGGGCCTGGGCGACCCTGATGGCGGGGGCTTCGGGGGCGAGGAAGAGACAAGCGAGCCGACCTTAGAGGAGTGCCCGGGCAGTGGAGAGCCAGCGAGAGCACGTGGCACTGGCCAACCAGCGCAGGGCGGTCCTCCGGCCCGAGGAGGTCCAGCTGGCCCCGCGCGATCGGCTGGGCTGCGAGCGCCGGCGCCAGCAGGTCAAGCTCCCCGAGAGCCAGGGCCAGCTGAGGCGCGAGCCGACGCCGGTCGACATCGGCGAGAGTAGCAGCACCGACGTCGAGGAGAATCCCGGGCCAGGCGCCGCTCGCAGGGCCGTACTGGGGCGCGCTGGACTCCAGCGGAGGCGGAAGTTCTGGGAGTTGGCAGTGACAGCCGCCGTGTTCGGGACGATCAGCTTCCTCGAGCAGGGCCCGGTCACGCCGGAAGTGCTGGAGCGGTGCCAGACCGAGGTGGCGGGCCTCACGGCGTTCGCCAGCCGCCAGCCGCTGGTCCGCGACGCGCTACTTCAACCACCTGTTCTTCACAGGCTGGGGCGCCGACGCGGGCGAGCATATCCTGGCTGGACTGATGTGCTCAGTGCCGGAGTTCCCTCGCGCCGCCAGCTCCCCCGGGCCTTTCGCTGCCTGAAAGGCTGGCGGTTGTGGGCTGGGATCGCCCGGCGGCTGGTGGAGCGGGGCATCTTGCAGATGGCGGCCCCCCGGTCATATGTCTCAGCTGTTACCTGAGGCCGAACGAGCTGATGGGCCTCAAGTGTGGTGGGATCATTGCGCCTGCGGCAGGGATTTCACGACGCTGGAGTTTCTTTTGTTCCCTTGCAGCTACCCGAGCGGAGCAAGGTTGACCTGGGCGGCGTCAGCATCACGATAGACTCCAGCTACCGTCAGTTCTTGAGCTCGATCCTGAGGGTGCTGGCCCAGGGGCCGAAAGACGAGGCAGTCTGGACGTTCGCGTGCCCTCACTACCTGGCGGAGTTCAAGACGTCTCTCGGCGAGCGTCAGATCCAGGAAACCACAGTGCCGCATCAGACGAGACACTCCGTTCCGCGCAGAATTCGAGGCCCAGCGTCGAGGCCAGTGGGCGAGCGCGAAGAGCGCCCAGCGGTGCGAAAAAGGCGCCCAGCGGGGCGAGAGTTGGGACTTCCTGTCCGCCAAGGTGCGACGACTGCTCACGGCATGCGAGACAGCTTTCGCGGACATGCTCCTGAACAGGCCTCGCGCCGTGACGTTCCTTTGGCTGGCCACTTCAAGGGCCGCTACCTCCTCGACCTTTACGCGGGCACGGGAGGGGTTGCTAGAGCGGTGGCGCAGCAGGGTTGCAACGCTCACGCGTACGTCCGTACTCACGGGCTGGCGGAGGACATGACCTGCCTGAAAGTGCTGGGTCGCCTGGACTCCGCCGTCAGCCTGGGCGAGGTGCCCGGGGCGGCGCTAGGGCCGCCGTGCGACGCCTCAGGAGCCGCAGCGGATCGAGGGCCGCACGGGTCGATTCAGACTGTCCGAGCGCCCTGGGGTTCGCCTGAAGCCCAGCTCGCAACCCGCCAGCGTGTGAGACTGCGGAGAGGCACTAAGATTTCCGACGTGCTGTGCGTCTTCTCCGCTCCTTGTGTCGTCACAGAATTCCGACCATTTTCGAGCATCCCATACATTCCAGAATTTGACACACTCTTGAGTTTCTAGCAGTCATTCGTTGCTACGGTGGCCGTGTGAGGGTTCTGGACCAGTGCCAATTCGGTCGGTGTTGGAGAAAACGTGCGAAGCTTTTTGCTCTGCGTATAAGCCTCTAGATTCAATTAAACTCGATCGTAGGTGTAAAGGCTCCGGGGGCCTCTGTAGTAGAACTGGTCGCGAGCATGCCATATTGGAAGGTGCAGTGGCCTCGGGCCGCAAGTGGGCAGCCATCGCAGTTTCATATCCTCCATAGTTGTGCAAAGCCACGATGCAGATTCTATTGTCCCAAGCGCGTGAGGCTATAGCCTCCTTAGCTTCTTGCTGACAAAATCTCCAGTCCCGCCCGTCCCTGGGAACATCTTCAATGTCGGGTAGCCCTCATTGAGCTTTGGATCCGTTGAGCGGGTCGCCTCAAATATGTTTGTGTTCCCGCCTTGTGTGCTTGCGCGCGAAGGTGAAAAGGAAGTCTGTGTGGTTGATTTCTCCTGTTGCCACAATTATGGTCAAGCCTCCTTTTTTTCTCTCCTTCCACACGTTGCCCTGTTTCTGGATGCGTTGAGCGGGTCGTTTCGGGTGTTTTTGGGTTCCCACATTGCTTGTGCACAGATCGGTTGGCACCTCGGTCGCACTGGTGCGCGGCACCTTTGTATCAGAAGCGGAGGCATGAGTAAGTAGGAGGCGTGAAACCGCCCGACCGATGGGCATTCATAAGTAGGAGCTATGAAGGTGTCATGAGAACGTGTACGCTGTCTTGGCGATGTTTGGGCGGGCGTCGCCCGAAGGGGAGGGGCAGCAACACGAGGAAAAGGAGGAGAAGGGAGAGGAGGAGGAGGAGGAGGAGGAGGAAGAGGAGGCGGACGACGACAATGACGACGAGGACGGAGGAAGAGCGGAGCGGGACGGCAAACCGGAGGAAGAGGATGAGGGGGGATGATGATGATGATGATGATGATGATGATGATGATGATGATGATGATGATGATGAGGAGGAGGAGGAGGAGGAGGAGGAGGAGGAGGAGGAGGAGGGGGGGGAGGGGGGAGGAGGGAGGAGGATGAGGATGAGGAGGAGGAGGAGGAGGAGGAGGAGGAGGAGGATGGGGTAATCAATTAGGAGTGGGCAGGCGTGTGGAGCAGGATGTTGCAGGTGCAGGAGGGGGGGAGGCATGGGCTGGCATAGGCTAAGGAGCACGAGGAGGACGAGGACAAGGCCTAGGAGCAGAAGTAGAAGGAGGAGCAGGAGGAAAAGGAGGAGGAGGAGGAGGACGAGGAGCAGGCGAGGGAGGACGAGGAGCAGTAGAAGAAGCAGTAGCGGAAGCAACGGCAGCACGACACGGACGGGCGAGGTCCCGAGCGAGGACGACGACGCGATGACGACCGCGGCGTCCGCAGCGGCCAGCGGCCCTTGGCAGGCGCTCTCTCCCGCCCGTGCGCGGCCGAAGCCACCGCCTGCGGCCGCGGTGCGCCGTGAGCGCGCAGGCGCCGCCGCCGTGAGGGCCCGACGCCGAGGAGGGCGCCTTCTCGACGAGGAGGCCTCGAGGTTCGAGGTTCCCAGAGATCCTGGCGCTGCCACTTTTTCACACCCGGCGTTTTCGCCCAGGCTCGGGCCCCGAGACCCTCACGGATCGATCCGGCTCGAAGAACGAGTCGACTAGACGCAAGAGTGACCTTTCGCTGGAGTGACCTTCGGTGCGGGCGCAGAGGGGCCCTCAGATGGCTGAAAGAGAAGCAGTAGCGGCGGCTTGCGCGCCCAGGTTTGGTCTCCCCGCGGACCCCAAAAAGCCGCGCACCAAAGGTCACTCTTACCCAGGGTAACTCTTGCGTGTAGCCGAATGAGGCAGAAAGATGTGGTCTGGGACTTAGATTGTGATTTGTTGCCATGTTGCAATGTCGGATCTCAGGGTTTGCGGGTGTTTCAACGGTCTTCGGCGTTTCTCGGACGTTTCAACAGTCCTCAGCGGATCTCACTGCGACCTCTCGACGAGGAGGTTTCAGGGTTCGAGTCTTCCTCGGGAAAGGCGCCAGAACTCGGGTTTGCCAATGTTTTTTGACGAACGGATTTTGACGGTCCAGTTTTCATGGGATGTCTGCAGCGTGAGCCCGCGTCTAATTTCAGATTGGGTCTCGTCATGCTCAAGATGTCCCCTATCAGGCCATCCGAGTCCCCCGAACCCGAGTCTCATGTCCCCCTGATTTTGGAACGTTTCAAGAGTCCTCAGCGGTTTTCCAGCCTCCAGCCTCGTTCTGGGTTGCCCGGATCGTCCCGACGGGCCGCTGGGGAGCCGAGTTACGACCCGAAAGCCAGGGGGGCAACGTTCGGCGGAGAGTAGGCGAAGCGGGCACGCATCGACCCCTATAATCGCTCCTGGATCGCAGACAGGGTCCCGATGCCCCGCCCCGCCCAAGAGCGTGCAGTCTCCCCATCGTCGGTCCATCGGGGATGTCGCCTCGATTCCAGGTAGATGTTGCCCCCCCCTTGAGCTGGTCCCGAACTGACGTTCCCCCTCAGCGGCACCCTCTCGACGGCGGCGGCGGCGGCGGGCGCCCTCTCGACGATGGCGCCGACGCAGGCGTCCTCTCGACGACGGCGGCGGCGGCGGCGGCGGCCGCGGCGGCCGCCCGACCGCGACACTGGCGGGGGCAGCGGTGGGGCGCCAGGGTCGTTTGGTCCTGTCCGCCGCTGGGCAGGGCGCAGCATCCAGAGGCACCCGATCGTGCTCCAAGACAGGCCCAACGCGTAGCATCCCAATAGAGATCGAGCGTGCTCCCATGCGGAGGGGGCGCTGCTTGAGAAAGGCGCCCAGGATGCCTCAGACCCTGGGGGATTCCTGATCTGATGAGGGCGGCGGGGATATGCATGGCCACTCCAGGATTGGAGTCCCACCAGCTTCCAGACCTTAGATTCCTCACCCAATGGTTCCTCATCCACTGTCCACACCGTACGGTCGGACCAGG